ATTTGATTGTTATTGGATTTTGAATTTTTTATTTAATGGGTTGTTTTTATTTTGTAATTTAGGGGTTTACCAAATCACTGGCCATGACTGTGCTTTCTGAGATCGGTGACAAGACCTTCATTGCTGCGGCGGTCTGTATTTTTTATTTTTTCTATTTTATAATTTATTATTGGAATGTGTTGAATGGGTTATTTTTTATGTGGGTAAATTGTTAATTTGATCTTTATTGTGTTATACTATGTTGCAAGAATTGATTTTTCTTAGATGCTTGTGTTGAATGGGTTGATTTTTATTTGGGATGTTGTAAATTTGAGTAATATTGTGTAATTCAATTGCTAAGAGTTGATTTTTATTTTTATTTTTAAAACTGTTTATGTTGAAGTACTGTATCTTGTTGCAATTGAAGGGGCATAAGTGCTCTTTGATTGATTGTTAGTGCTTGAAAAGAATTTGGTTCTTTGTGGAATCTAATGCATATAGTTTTTATACTAAAGACATGGAATCACTAATTAGTGGGAGGATATGGGGTTATTTGGAAGAATAAGTGTTAGTGGAAATGACCTTTTGCTGTTTCAACAGTTAAGGATAGATTAAAGTGACCTGTGATAAATGATTCCCTTAGCTAAAATGATGGGAAAATGGAATAAATAAAAAAGAAAATTACCTTGGTCTTAATATTTTTTTTTTTTTTTTTTCAAATATACTCCCTCCATCTATATCTGTTCGCCCTATTGTAATTTTTGGGGTCAAAGTTAACTTTGTCCAGAAATTCTCACTAATCTATTATAGATAACATAGTCAAGACGGATTTTTTTTACGTAGTAGATTGGTTAAAATTATCAAAGTTTAATAACTTCTACACATATAGGATTAGAGATATTTATATTTTTTAAATGGATCTTGAAGACCATGAAAAGTCAAATGGCGTAAACAAAAAAGGACAGAGAGAGTAGAGAATAGTTGTAAGTTTTGGGAACAACATGTAAATGGTTTGGATCTATACATGAACATGGCCCATTTAATTGAATATCCATCACCATTGACCATGTCATAGGTTGAAGCTTTGTTAAAGACATTGTGGTCATGTTATAAATATTTGTTTGTTATAGATGAAAAAAAGATGGAAGTAATCGAGTAAGATAGCATGGATAAGCCACAAATGTATAGTTCCTAAATTTGCAATGTAGATGGATACTGATCTTGTGAATGAAAATATAATGATAATCAAGTGCCTTTAACCTTTGCATCATTACTATAATGATACCCCTGTATGTCAAGCCCTCCTTCCCCAAGATGTTACCTTTAAGTTAATGTTGCGCCATATATTGCTGATAATTTTGCTAAATCTTGCTTTTGATGTTTTCCTTGATCCTTGCTTCTAGATCTTAGCCATGCGTCATCCAAGAAGACTTGTCCTTTCTGGTTGTCTCTCTGCTCTGATAGTAAGTGCAACCTTTTGCCTTACATATTATTCATTTGTGGACATGTTCTCCAGTTGCCTGTCTAACTTGTCTGATTAACTTTCAAATTAGGTGATGACCATTCTCTCTGCTGTTGTTGGATGGGCTGCTCCTAATTTGGTAAGGAGTTCTTCTATAGAATCTGACACCCTTTGGTGCCTTATATTGGGATTGTTTGTTTTATATCCCTGAGAATGTATTAATGATATCTCTGCAAGCTGTATCTGTTAATGCCTTTGGCTTGGTTATAATATTTCTCATTCTCTTAAAATCTTATTTAATAAAATAAGATGCCATTCTTATTTATGTTCCTTTTTTGCATTTTTCTATCTGATGCTTTGTGATTGCAAATTACTCAGATGTCTCGTAAGCTGACTCATCATGTTGCAACATTGTTGTTCTTTGGATTTGGATTATGGTCACTATGGGATGGTTTTCATCAGGAAGGGTGATAATTTTCTTCTTGGTCTTTGTTCAATTTGTCTTCCTTTGTGCTTCTCATGTTGAAAAAAGCAGTTAAATTTCATTCTGCTGAAAGCCAGTAAAATCTCATTTATGTAGGGAAGCTGGAGAGTTGGCTGAAGTTGAAAAGCAGTTGGTTAGTATTCAATTCATCATTTCTTGAATTTGTACTAATTTAGGCTATAACTCAGTTCTTATGATTTGATTAGGATACTGATTTCAAGGGCACTACAACGGCTAAAGTGAACAAGGTGAGATTCTTTATATGTGCACACTTGCAAATTTTCCAGTACTCTTATTCTTTGTTGTTCTTGATGCCTCCATCTCTCTTTCCTTTTATATATTCCTTTTCAAGGTTATCAATGTATTTGTTGCTTGTATTTCCTGCATATGTATTTTCATTAATTCTCTTGCATTATCAAGGTTTCTTAACCACAAACTGAAGAAAAATGTATGATGTTAAATGTTTGGAGTTGATCTGGTAAAACTTCTGCTTTAAAATGTGAGCGAGGTCATTAGGCTGTGACCATCAACGGCATCAAGCACAAGGGATGCATGTGCCTTCACCACATCTTTGCGTAATGTAATAAAACAAAATGAAAAATATAAAATATAATTCCTTCAGACAGTTCATGATTTGCTGAAGCAACCCTAAAATCAAATTCTTGTTGATCTGTTGGAGCTTGATGGATCTATAGTGTGAGAGCAAGTCGAGTCCCACTTTTTTATTGTTTTTCCTGTTCCCCTGCTATTTATTCCTTTGCCATCTCTTCACTTGGTTTTCTTCCCTCTTGTTTAGTTATTGTTAAGCAATTAATACAAAGAGTTTACCTCAACCATTGAAAAGGCAGTAGGCCTTTACTCTGGAAATACTTTGTACTTTGTATATTATTTAAAAGATTTCCTTTTGATCTGGATGCTTGTGAACTGGAGATACCCAATGTTTTTTGTGCTATAGGATGATGATGAAAAGAAAAAGAAGACTAGGCCATTTCTTACACAGTTTTTCTCACCAATTCTTTTGAAGGTAGCACCCTATTTGTGATTTCTATGTATATTTTATTCCTGTTGACGCCATTCATATTTTCTCACTTTAGTTACTGTGGTTTTGCAGGCGTTCTCCATTACTTTTTTTGGCGAATGGGGTGATAAGAGCCAGGTGAGGTTAAGGACCTTCAAGAATGTGTTTTTGTGATAATTTGTATTTATTTATCTGCATAGATTAATATGCCATCCCTTGAGCTTTAATATGCTGTGTAATTCACATTTTGCATTGTGATACTTCAGCTTGCTACCATTGGTCTAGCTGCAAATGAGAACCCATTTGGTGTTGTGCTTGGTGGAATTCTGTAAGTATCATTACCTATGGCCTTCCTCCTGTATTCTGTAATTTATTCTTATGGTCAATTGTGGAGAAGCAATGGAAGAGAATGAGAGAGGGGGTGAAGATAGAGAGAGGTGAGCTAGGGAAAGGGGAAGGGGTAGGAATGACCATATGATTGGTATTAGTTTAGTGATTTAGCTGTTCGAGAGGGGCTGGCAGGCCAAGCTTATCCCTATTGATTGGCTGTTGACTTTCTAGTCATGATCTCTTTTTTGTAAAAATTTGGGACGTTTTTGAACCAAGTCTGTATATTCTTCTTTCTCCTTGCTTTGCTCAAGTTCCCTATTGTCATAATGAGGGTTTTGAATGATAAGTAGTACACTCAGAATGTGCTGCAGCATTCTGGACTTGTTACCTTTTTTTTTTTTCTCTTTTGGCCTCCCACTTTAAGAGTAGAATAACTAATTTAGTATTAGGGTATCTCTTGTTCCCAATTTAGTATCAGGATCTATCTTAACTGATATCACTTATATACAATCTGTAGAGGACAAACATTGTGCACCACAGCTGCTGTCTTGGGTGGAAAGAGCTTGGCATCTCAAATATCCGAGAAAGTGGTATGCATTAAAAAGCTCATGCCTTCTTCCAATATTATGCTTTTGGCTTCTAATGATTAATTGCTCTCATCTTGCAGGTTGCCCTTTTTGGTGGTGTTCTTTTCATTATTTTTGGGATTCAATCCTTCCTTTCTCCAGTTGACTAATCCCCTTGTAAAAACATTCAAGAGGTTTGTAGATATTGCCTTTACAATTTCTGGATAGTATGTACGAAAAGCTGCATGAATTCCATGGATGCATCAAAAGCATGTCATGCTCATATATACGAACCTAGTCAACATGTAGAAGTGTAGAACCTGTGTAATGCCCTTTAATGCTGTTGACGTGGCTGAATCATAAGCTTTCTTGTCTGAATGTATACTTTGTAATTGTGTCTCAAAAATAGCTTGCCTCGTCTTTTCCAACAAAATGAGAAATCCACCTATTAAAAAGAGCTTTAGATCTGGTTTCTGCATTTTATTCTGGATCAAGAATCAGGATCTGATCAAAAGTGCTTATACATTTGCTTGATGCAGCGATTATTGGTCGGCCAAAGCTCCAAAGCAGATCAAACAATAACGTTGCAGTTCTATAAGGGAGCAAGAGACTTCTGAAATGACAAGTTGCTTGCTGCTCTGCAGCTATAATTTTAGAATTATTCTCATTTTTTGCTGGTTCTTGTTATTTCGTACAGAACTATATTTATAGGATTACACAAATGTTAGGAGTCAGCAATGTTGGATCATTTTGTACCGAATCATCAAATCCCCAGTCAAAATTTTCTGGGTCAAATGCTGCTTGATTTGGCACTGGATAATAGCATCTACCTTTAGATGTAGTTATAAATTATAATATGCTTCTTTATACAAATTAAAATTAGTATGAAGTGTATTGCTGTCAATACACATAGAATCTATTGAAAAATACTTCAACTCACTCTACAATTCAAAGAATATTACACATATCTCAATTTAGAGGGTGTATGCTTTGAGTTTACAACCTACAGTATATCAAGCAGAGTCTGTTGATTATGATTCATCTGCATAAGAAGATTAGCCATTTTCTCAATGCACTCTGTAGACACAGCCAACGATTTGCATAACGATTCATTGATACTAAACATTTGCAACTGGAAGTTATAAAGCAATAATATCCAAATAGTCAAGTAAGAGCAATATTATGTATTGATAAGATAAATCTTGTCTAAATTTGAGCACAACAAAAACCAAGGTTCACATGGGCAATGGCTACCAGATATGTACATATGTAGATGTAATTTATAAACATTATACAACTATGTTGGCCTTCCCACAACCACAAGGCCTCTCTTTCACACTTTCGCAATTCAGCATCCACTGCCTGCAGGTTCAATAGAGCTCAGCAGCCCGTTGCCTCTCAGCTGCATACAATGGTCTTCAGCATCAGCCTGAGCACATATTATAACCACTGACATGCCATTGATGTGTGCTTCTTGCATGATGTTTACAGCGTTGTCGACTGTCATTCCGGGTATAACCTTCATCAGTACTTGCACAACATATTCCCTTTTGTTGAAGTTGTCATTGTGCAGTAGTACACGATATGGAGGAGCTATTTTCCTTGTTTTCCTAAAACAAAACAGAATTATGGGATTTAAATCTTGTCAACAGAGATATTTTCAAGTCTCGCAAGTTCAATTCAGCAGATAGGACAAGAACCTATGGATGAGTCTCATATACGATAACACAAGTATATTCACTATATAAAATTGGTTTAGATAAGGACAAGAACATCATAAACAGATTTTACTTGACCTATAAAATATTACCATTATTATTAAATAAAAAAACACTATATTATTAGCTTCTTATTAGAGCGATTGATTGACTTCAAGAATATGCTCTTACCCAAATTCAGCAGTTTGGACAAGAACCTACTGATGAGTCTCATATATGATAACAAGTATATTCAGCATAGAAAAATGGTTTAGACAAGGACAAGGACAAGAACGTTATAAAACGGATTTTACTTGACCTTTAAAATATTACCATTATTAGATTAAAAAAAAAACTATAATATTAGCTTCTTAATAGAGCAATCGATCTACTTCAAGATTATGCCCTTACCCAAATACACAGAAATCCTATTTGCTAACTTTCTCCTCCCTGCCACAAAATAGCAAGGCCTGTCTTTTAGACCCTGAATTGGGTTTTTTTTTTTGAACTTCCTCGGTTTTTTTTTTCCCATCTTACAAATCGTTGAAACTCAGACGAGAAATAAAAAATAAATAAATAATAACATTATTCGGAATGTTACAGTTTTTCAAAAGAGCAGCACTTATTAAACTATATCTAACAAATACCTTGAAGAGGGAAGGACAACAAAAAATTATCAATGAACAACCTTTTGCAATCTCTCTCTCAAAAGGTCAAATCGCACAAAACCATCCCTTACTCTCCAGAGTTGCAGTACCTCTACATGATTTAAGAGCACTTCTAAGGACAAACATAACCTTATTTTCTTTACATCCTAACAGACTGTTCAACACATATAAATAACCAATTAATGATGAACCTGAAAGGCAATAGTATAAACCAGCTAAGGGCTATAGTCTCCAAGAGTAAGGAAAGAGTAGACTAGATGCATCAAGTCACTTATTGCTCCTTGAAAGTGGAGCCCAATCATAGAAGACAGAATAAGCTCTAGTTATTTCCATAACATAAAACATAGTACTTCAGACTCAAAGTGACTGTCCACTTTCCTATACGGTATGTCCCATACTCCCATTAACTTGTTCGAATATAATTTGTGATGAAATAACAATTATTTATCCTTCACTATTCTCAATATACTAAATCAGTATTAATTTCCATCAAATGACCCAAAAGATACACTTCTTAAGAGGGATGAAAAGTTTACAAGGTTCATCAATTTGCAATGCCATTTTGCAATTTACATGCACCCAGAATCCCAAAATTCATTTCTCTAGATTTGCATCTTTCTGTCGTGTGATAACAAGATAGGCTTCAAAATAACTCCATGTGAACTCACCTAAACATAACTCATATATATTTCCCTCCCGACAATAAATGCACAAGTACAAATAGTAGATAAACTCCATTTTTGTGTTAGAAGCATTTCTAATGTTATCAAATATAAAAGGAAGGCATTATTAGTATTAGCACCTCAGATCAAACTCAGATTCACGTCCAGGGGTAGTTTTCTCAATTACAGGTCTGTCTAATACTCCTCCCTTAGAAGATCCAGTAGCTGACACAGCCATAAGGAATCCGCGGTGGTGGCACAATCCTTTACAAAAATAATGTTTATCCCCTGGGCATAAATCCAGAAAGATCATTCCAGTAATAACATAACACATTCTTTTAATAAATCACAGTCAACTGCTCCAATGAGTGAAGATAAACCAAATAATCAAACATCCAAAAAAAATCAAGCAATGAGGACTTAAAGGGTAAAAGGGCATCCAAAGTTTGCATCACTAAAGCAACCAAGCAAAAACTATCATAATCCTTATCATACAGTCTAGAACCAACGTTCAAAGAGATTAGAGAACACAGTCACATACACAAGCATTCCTGCAAGCCAAATCCGTAGCAACTAAAACACGACAGATTACCGATCTGCATAAGTTTACTATAAGAAAAACTAGAAAGAAAATGCTACCGCAAAAGTTATTAATTTGTTTTAAGTCACGAGGTAAAATAATGCATCCAAAGAGCATGTCAAACAGAAACTTGAGAGTAGCCTGTTCATTAGAAGGTGACTTGAGCCTTAGCCTCTTTCATTCACACTGAGTCCAGACTTTCACAGACAACTAGAAATTTCCAATCATTAGAAAAGACTGTGGTATGATATTCGCATATTGCGATAAAGAAACCTGAAGTTGGAAACATCTCATGAGTGATAATGTGATACGCCATGTTTAATGGTCATCGAAGCACCGATTGGCAATTTGAAATATATTCACTTCATCATTGTTATTCACTTATTCTGTGATGAAATAAGAGATTTTATACATTTATAATGCCGTACACGAGTTTAGAGTTTTTTTTTAATACACCTAAGCTACATTCAAGAGCAATAAACATTTCTAAAGGCGACCTAAAACAGAAGTTGAGAATTATTTTTATAAAAAATACATGTTATGTCTTAACTTTTAGTGGAATGACAAACTGTAAAACCATCACAGAATGGCTTCAGTGTGACCAAACGCCCAGTTTAAATCTACGTTTACAACAATGCATTACATTTGCGGAATTCATTACCTTGAGCAAATCATTATAGAATCACCTAATTATAATGATAAAGCTCCAACCTAAAATAGATATGACTACGAAATTCAATGCAAATCAAATTATATAGAAAGCTAGGAGCAAGGTGATTCTCCAACTATATTACCACACCTAAATCCCAAAAAACATTTTAATAAACACGAAAATTCCAATTAAAAACTCTAAAGAATTACAGAAAAAGTGTTAACAAGTTTACAAACTAAAGTAAGAGAAAAGCGAAGAAAGAGAGAATTAAAGCTCTAATATACTTCTAACTGCAGCATAAAAAGGATCCACAAAGTTAATCAACTGCATAAAGTTAATTTTGATATACACATTTAATTGTGACAAAATTACGCATCAATTAATGATAAAAATGTTTAATTAACCCTCAATGTTTACTTTAAATTTCTTAATTTAGGGCAGAGTATATCATTTTCCATCAAAAATTAAAATCCACAACAACCAAAAGAAAAAAAAAAAAAAAAAAAAAAACGCAATATATATATAACAAAACCCAGAAAATCAAAGCTCATTCAATCAAAATAATAAAGTCAAACAATAAATTCCAGATAACAAAAAATTGAAGCAACAAAGTTGAATTCAATCAAATGTAATGTAAATAACAATGCAATAACAAAAGAGTCAATAAATTAGAAGCTTAATTAACAAAAAAAAAAAGGGGGTTGAAAGAGAAAATACCGGAAATAGGGTTAAGAACATGGTTGGGGGAAAGAGCTAATCTGGCAATAATCGCAGTCTCCATTAGAGAGAAGCTTTGTTGGGTGTATGGAGTTATCTCTCTCCTCTTCGCAAGTTCACAGTGTTTGTGTGTGTCAGATTTTGTGTTGAGAATTTGTGTAAATTGTGATGGCCGTGCTGTGCGCGTGTATGAGTCTGATGCCTTTGCCTTTCATTTTTCTCATTTGTCCACTACCCATTTTCTGGGTCTCATTTTATTTATTTATTTATTTTTTTCATCAAAGTTTTATTTTTTTGAGGCAATTTTTAATCAAAGTTTTATGTAAAGCGGGTAATCGGGTTATACAATAGATAAATATCAGGGGTTGTTTGGTTGTCAAAGAAAAATATGGGAATTTGGAAATTATAGGAATTGAAATTTTTTGAAGTTGTTTGGTTAACAAATTCATGGGAAGTAGAAATTCCCATGAATTTTCATTTCCCACAAAATGGGGGAAGTTAATTACGTAGGGGGACCTAGGTAAGTGGAATTTCTCATGGGAATTTCCACCTCCCCTTAGTTAACCAAACAATTTTTAGAATTTCTTAGGAAGTTCAATTTCATGGAAAATAAATTTTTCAAGGAATTTGCAATTCCTACCTTCAACCAAACGAGCCCTCAGAGTGTTTTATACATGGCTACCCATAGTATGTGGCCACTTATACCAGAATAAAGTAACCCCTATAATATCGGTCGGGTAACTCTTATAATATAGATCGAGTAACCTCTAAAATCTGGAGTGAAGCCAGGAAATAAAATTTAGGGGGGCCAAGACTTATACTACATATTAAGTAAAAGGCAAATGTGTCAGAAAAAACCTCTTAAAACCACCATTTTGCGGAAAAAAAAACCTTTTAAAACCATTTTGTTTCAAAACACCATCACGTTCATTATTTTTGCTAGAGGAAACCTATTTTCTTAATTACCCTCTAATTTACTTAATTAATCTCTAATTCCCTCCAATTTCTTCTAATTGACTTCTAACCTACCAATTTACTTTATAATTAGATTTAATTTTTAATAAAAAAAAACCACCACTCCAACCACCCCCTTCCCTTCCCCTTCAATTCCCTTGGCAGTAATCCCTTCCCCCACCGAACCCACTGTCCAAATGACCCACCTCCGGCGACCTATCACCACCACCGCCCGACCCTTCCTCTCCCCTTATCCCCGTCGGCAACCACCACCTCCCATTGAATTTTTGGCTCTAGTTTACTACTACAAGCTCAAATCAAGTCCAAATCAATTGCAATTTGCTTCTAAATCACCCTAGCATCATGTAGATACATAATCAAAGACAAAACAAGCATCAATTGCAAGGAAAAAGCACGAAATTAAATACCCCCAAATCGATTTTCTAGGGTTTTTCAAAATAAAAAAGGTGGTGATCGCCGGTAGGGATAAGGGGGAAAGAGAGGGTCGGCCGACGGTGGAGATAAGTCACCAGAGGTGTGGCGACGGGTCCGATGAGAGAAGGGGTTGCTACCAAGGGAGGGGGAAAGGGATGGGGAAGGGGAGGAGGTGGTTTGTTTATATATAAATTAAATCTAATTATTTAGTAATTTAGTGGGTTAGAGCCTAATTAGAAGAATTGCGAGGAAATTAGAGATTAATTAAGTAAATTAGAGGGTAATTAAGTAAATTGGTTTCCTCTCGCAAAAAAAAAATAAACATGGTGGTTTTTTGTAACCAAAAATCTTTTAAAAGGTTTTTGTTTTCACAAAATGGTGCTTTTAAAAGGTTTTTTTTTGACAAATTTTCTTAAGTAAAATAGTAATGAATAATTGTATATACGACTTTTCTTATTGTAAAAGTTTTTTTTATGCACTGGTATTAATTAAATTTGACTAGCAGTTCTCAAAAAATAAATAAAAAATAAAAAAAAAATTTACTAGTTAATATATAAATGTAACTACACAAGCAAAAAAAAAAAAAAAAAAAAAAAAGCAATTGAGGCTTATAAGATTTGAACTTGGGTCTAGCATTGGCAACTATAAGGATATAACCAATTGAGCTAATAACTTAACATCACTATAACTATAACTATAACTATAACAGAAATTAACATTTTATACTATTTATTTAGGGGGGCAGATTTAAAAATAAAGGGGTTGGCGATTAGGCCACGGGGGCCGGGGGCTTCACCAGCCCCCCGGCTCCGCCCCTGACTAAAACATTGTCCGAGTAATTTCCTTTAACATTGACAATATAGCTCTTGTAAACTAACCGAGTAAACTCTACAACACTAATGAAGTAATCCTTATTATAATGGCTGGCCACATCATGTGACCAACCACGTATAAGAATATGTAATATTGTATTGTACCTCATCATTTGCAATTTACTTGTCAGGTTGCAACATATTTCTATCCGTTTTTGTAAATTCTCAATTTAACAATTTACCTAAACCATTTTTTCTTAAAATCTTACTCTTCCTGAATTGAGTTCCACACTCATACCACCTATTTAGTATTATTTAAAAAGGTATAATAAAATTAAAATTCTCAACAAAGTGATCTAAGATATTATTTAAATTGTAATTTGGGCACTCATGTTGCAATATATTAGTCACAACAAATGTTTTAATACTACTTGCGCACGAGGGAGCCCCAGTTGATATCAGAGATAAACATTCTAATTTATATCCTCTCACAACCTTATGTGTTGAAATCTATGCCACTTTATTATTTTACTTTTATCATTTAAAAAATAAAAGAAAAAATGATTAAATTGTGAGAGGAGATTTATTCACAGCATTTATCTCAAAGAGAAACTTGAATTTACCCCTTGCGCACTTATTTGCTGTGGTTTGAAATTTCATGTGCTAAAGAGGAGATAGTAGTGTTGTAAAGGCCAATGTTATATTCATGATAGACGTGTTGAATGTCTTCACATTGATTATGTCATGAGAATTAATTACTTGGTAATTAATTTCAAACTTTTGGTAAGTAAGTTTATGATGTATGTGATGTTGAATCCATTGGTGTAGACTAAAGATACAACTTTATTAGTAACTACTAACTAGTAAGGTGATATAACATACCGTACAAGTTTTAACTCATTTAACTTTGAACATATGTTCTTGATTAATTTGACACCTACATTTCAACTCTAAATTTTTCTATCTTGAAATCTATCAGCACATCATTTATCCTTATCTAGATCGAGATAATCAAGCAAAGTCATCGTCTGGGTACGAATGTACGATGATCTACAATGATGGATCATTTGCTTGTCTTAGCTCTTGCAGTCTTACAAAGATTATGTTCTACTTAGGAGTAGAAGCAGTAAGAGGAGGAGTCCATAACGATGTTTCGAAGCCCTCCGATGGTTGATGCCAGCATGATGAGCACCCCAATGATTATACATGCCTGAAAAATAATACAAATGAAATGGTAGTTTATCCAATGATTTAATATGTTTAGCATAATATAGTATGCATAATCAACGAGAAAATGCTCAAAAGGCGTACCCAGTTGATGAACCAAGAAGCGCTAAATCTCTTTGGTTTCTTGATTACGAGCCAAATGACACAAGGAAGCTGCAACGATGTCCCTCAGCAAAGTTAAAACTCTGTTTTTTGTCAGGGGTTTAACATGAATAAGATATATAGAACACATGAAGAGCTTACAAAGTACGCGGTTGGAGCAAAGCCAAATCCACCAAAGAAACCGAGGAGATCCCCAAAGAAAGGGAAAGTGACTCCAAGAAATAATGTTAACCCTGCAAGGCAACAAGGCATGTGTAGTGATCAATCATGACTATGGTCATTGGAAAAAATTGCTGTAAAAAAATTGAGGTTAGCTGTGAAGATAAAAAATTTAGTCAAATTACCAACATAGATTGTTCGAGTAATGAGTCGAAGAGTAAGTCCTGGTGGGAATTTTAGTTTGTTTATCATCAAATTCTCGAGCATATCAAAGATGGGCATTGCATATACCTGCATACATTAATCTCATCTTAATAAAGTCAGACTTACAATCAAATGACTAATGGAGTCTTTAGCCTTATAAATAACACTGATCCTATTTTGGATATAGGCTTTACAGTATTTGAACTTAATAGCCCTTATTCACAACATACTTTTCATTATCTGAACATAATTTAGATGTAAATTGAATTTAGATGAGCTTATCTAAGACTTATTTTTCGTGATTTTTGTAAGGTTTCAGGCTGTACACTGGTGCTTTACCGAGATCCTGCATAAATTAGATACACAAAAAGTATTACCTGATAGCTGCCAATGACATGGATGACGACCATCAGATTAGCAGAGGCGATAAGCCAACCAGGCTTCTTGAGTCCTACCAACACATTGTCATCAACATCTTGACCAAATGCCCAGTAACCTATAAATGCCACAGGAAAATAGCAGAGTGCATTTACGAAATAGGAACCTAAGGCGCCTTTCCACATCGATACCTTCGATGGTCTCTCAGGAGTGGATGGCATGGTGGCCTGGATTTCAAGCACAACAGCATGTCCAGCATAGGCAAATGAAATTTGTCCTAGTGCATTGAAGACTCTGAACATGAAGTCAACGTTGCTTGTTTTTTTGTAACCATAGTTCACATTCTCAATTTGACCTTTGGCTAAGCAACCTACCCATGCTATTGTTGAATAACTGCAAGTTTCAATTGCAAAATCATATCTTCAGCAACAGAATAGTGTTATCAATTAAATTTATGTATACAAAAGAGTACAATTTTTTCACGAAAATGAGGCCTTTTAAGCAGCACATCTTTTTAGCAATAGCAATCCCCATAAATCAATAATATAAAAAGCAAAGTTACAGATGTCAGCTAGCTTAGTTGGTAAAGTCTTGAAAGTGTTACTCAAAATTAATAATAAAATCTTGTCTACATCAGTAACAATATGAAGCTAAATAAGGCTAATTTGGTCATTTAAGTGCAGCGAGTTCAGAATAGCAATCCCGATAAATCAATAATATAAAGTATAGTTGTGGTTTGTGGATGTCAACTAGCTTAGTTGGTAAAGTCTTGAAAGTGGTGCTCAAAATTGATGGTCAAATCTCGTCTACAACATCAAAAACACGAAGCTAAATAAGGCTAATTTGGTCATTTGAGTGCGACAAGCTAAGTGATAGTTTACCTTACTATAGTTGGTTTTGAGTAAGTTATCTTGTTAAATTAAGCTACTCAAAGTGACAAAATTATCTTTCACCAACTAAGAATCTTTTAGGTATCTATTCTACTTTATAAAAATTAAGGTTTCCAAAATCTATGGCAATCAACTAATCATAGTAAAGTATGTAAACCAAATTACATATTTGAATAAGACATAACAAATTAAACCAAATTAATAGTGTAGTATATCTGTATAAAATACCTGAGTGACATAACAGCAGCAGCTAAAGAAACAGCAGAAACAGAATTGAAGTTAGGGAGTTGAGAAAGGAAGAAATGGATTGACCCAAAAATGATGATCCAATAAGACTGCCTAAGCTCAACACAGTTGGTGCATGCTATTTCCATGAAATTCTTGAGGCATTTTCCTCCAGTGACCATGTACACAATATCACATCCCACTTGAACAATCAGCTGCTGAGGGAGCACCACCCAAGGGCCGAGCTTTGGCCCAAAGGCGTATTTACCGAGGTCGTAGTACCGGTCGAAGCGTGTCCCGGGAACACATTCATGCAGCTGTATCATTTGCCACATTGTATTCAGAGTGATGCACCATGATAGTATCATTACTACAGTCCCTGGTCCCCTGTAACATTATTTAGAATTGAGGCCTTGTATAGCCGTAAACCAATGAAATTGGAAAATTTAAAAAAGGTATTATAACTAAAATACCAAGTATTTGTATACCAGGTGATTTGTCCATTTTATATACTACTCCGTACATATAAGTGATTGTTTGGTTGAACATAGAAACAATAGTACCCAATTTTTTTTATTTTTTTTTTTAGTGAAATACAATTTTGTGATAGTGCCACATTCTAAATCAGATTTTGATTTTGTCTTTTTTACGTAGTAATAGTTATCATTTCGCAATTTTATGTTAATCAATTAAACAACCAATAACAAGTGTTATATAAGTATCTAGAAGTTATTTTTGATAGACCAACATGTCAATTCCTAGTTCGCACCTAGCAAAATTATATACCTAATACTACCTTCGTTAAATGTTATCTGCAGTTTTGAAATATTTTATATCTCACAAATAAAACCCCAGAGTTGCACATAACATTTAACGGAAGTATGTATAATGTTTTGCATAATTTACTCTTGTAGAAAGATAAAAAAAGAATAAGGGAGTTATCATGATTAAACATTATCAATATAAGTATTTTGTTAGCTTTGTTTTAAGAATATACTTCATTCGTTTTTAATCTTAGTGCCTGTTTTGATTTACAGAAATGAGTTGAATTAAACTGAACTGAGCTGAATTAAATTGAACTGAACTGGAGCTGAGCTAAACTGAATATTTTATGAGAAAAGGAAAGTAAAAATGAAATGAACTAACTAAATTGAACTGATTGGAGCTGAACTGAACTGATTGAAGTGAACTGATTAGAGATGAACTAAACTGAAATTAATAAAGCCGAAGAGAAGAGGTCCTTAATGTTAAAACTTTATACTATTCACATATATTCCTTTGATTGTCTTTTTTTTTCGAAAGACCCTTTGATTGTTTTTTTATTTAACGTTAGGAAAAATATAATCATATGAGGCCTCGTTAGATTCTGTAGACAAGTAATTTATTATTATTTTTTTTTTTTTTTTTTTTTTTGGGAATACTTTCCAAACAATTGAAACAAAACTTAATGTCAATTGTCAAGTAAATTAATGGACACGATTGCCCCCAAGAAATAAAGGTATGATTTAACATATTTATAACAACTACAATTTTATGGTAACTATTGAAATATTTTCCTTATTTCAATGCATGTTTTCAGCAAGATATATATATATATATATATATATATATATATATATATATATATATATATATATATATATATATATATATATATATATATATATATATATATATATATATATATATATATATATATATATATATATATATATATAGAGGTGTCCACCGTGCGAGTCGTGCGAGCTGGGTTAGGGTTAGGTGGGTCGCGGGTTGGGGTTTCATGACACACGGCACGACACACGTAGGGTAGGGTGGGCCGGGTCGTGGGTTGGGTCGGAGAAGTTGGACACACCAGGGTTAGGTTCGTGGGTTAGACGAGTCGTGGGTGGGTCGAGCTGGGTTTGTGGGTTAGACGGATCGTGGGTGGGTCGAGCTGGGTTTGTGGGTTAGACGGGTCATGGGTGGGTCGAGCTAGGTTCGTGGGTTAGACGGGTCAAGGTGGGTTAGTGAGTTAGGGTGGGTCGAAGGGTGGGTTAGTGGGTTAGGGTCGGGTGGGTTTGTGGGTTAGGTGGGTTAGGGTCGGGTGGGTTAGTGGGTTAGGGTCGGGTGGGTTTGTGGGTTAGGTGGGTTAGGGTCGGGTGGGTTTGTGGGTTAGGGTCGGGTGGGTTCGTGGGTTAGGGTCGGGTGGGTTCGTGGGTTAGGGTCGGGTGGGTTGTGTGGTGTTTTAATTTTTACAAAATTAACAATTTGATGGCTTGCTCTTAATTAAGATGCCTACGTATCCTTATATTATAAAATAAGGAATCAAAGCCAGCGTAGTTCTTATATTGTACTTCTTTTGAAATTTGGGGGGGGGGGCTTGGACCTATCTTTAGAAAACTAAAATTTAATTTTGCAATTAAATTGTAATTTTCGAAAAATAAGTTGCCTACGTATCCCGAAAGAATCAAAGCCCACGTAGTTCTTAGCGTACCTGATTTAGACTTTTCTAGCCACCCATGTTTGTTGCATCATCATCCCCGGAAGCTGCATCATCCGTTGACGACTCCAATATCATCACAGGATCATCTTCATCGTCTTCGTCTTCCTTTAAACCTTGAGTTCTTCTTTCAGCTTGATCCCAATCTTTCTTACAAACACAAATTTGAATGCTTTCCGGAGTTAAGCGAGATCTTTTTTCATCTAACACTCTTCTACCTGCACTAAAAGCAGACTCGGAAGCAACAGATGAAGCGGGAACTGCAAGTATATCTTTTGCAATTCTCGCCAATATAGGAAAACTTTTTTTATGTTCTTGCCACCATTTTATAATTTGAAAGTTGTTGTTGGTCTCATGTTGATATGACAAATAATCATTAATAGCAAGTGTTGAAGAAGATGATGATGAGAATGATGTAGATGCTTTGTGTTTTTTTTTCATAACTTTATCAAGAAAACCAAATCTAGAATCGGAAGTGCTAGTAGTAGTTGGTGTTGCCAAATCAAAACCATAAATAGATGCATAATGATCATAAAGGTCTCCCAAAACAGATTTGCATTTGTTAATATATTCACTAACATCATAATCGATACTTAAACTTGTATAATAAAATTCTAAAAGATTTTCCAAACCTTCAGCTTTGACACCGGGGTCAAGAATAGCAGCAATTCCATAAATGATTGGAAATTCACTAAAATAAGTATGCCACTTACGTTTCATGCTATCAAGAACGGGACGAAGTCCATCAATCTTCATATGCTCTTCGATGGTGTGAACAACTTTAACACACTCAATTATGACTAAATGAACGTTAGGCTCATAAATATAAGAGAAAATATGAGTTGCACTATCAAAAGCATTTAAAACATCACGAACAAAAGAATTAATTATACTTATTTAAACGCATTTTTAAATCAAATTATTTAAACTTTAACCAAGAAAAATGTGCTCGACCTCTACTTTCACCGCCACCACCTTTCATAAATCAAATTATTAAAATTAATTTTTAAATGCTATTCATGAAAATAAGCTTTTAAATTTTAAATATTTTAATTATACTTATTTAAACGCATTTTTCATGGTAATTAACTAATTGTAAATCATAGAAAATTGGAAACTAAACTAACTTTATAATCATTAATAATAGTTTTTTTAAATATTCATAACAATAAAAATTTAATTAGAAATTACCTTGAGATGAAGGTTGAGATGTTGGTTGCGATGGAGGTGGCATAGTTGAACTTGATGATTGGTGGGACTCGTGGGAGAAATGTTGTGGTGGAGACGTTTGAATATTTTGCCTATCTCCTAAACCATAATCTCCATATTCATTGACAAATTGGTTTAAATTTTCCGTATTAATTTCATACGAAAAATTTGCACCACCACTCCTTTGGCTACCACTTCGACCACCACTTTGACTCCTTCCCATTCCTCCTCTTGAGCTCATTTTTTTTTGTATGATTACTAATTATAATATGGAGAAGAACTTTTTTTTTTTAGAATCTTAAGAATACTAATAATAATATTAAGGAGATTTTTTTTAACAAAAATATAACTCTATATAACACTTGAGAATTTGAGAACAATAAGAATTTTTAAGTAAGAGAGAAAGAAAGCTTGAATTTGTGTGGAAATTTGAGTGAAATGGAATTGGTATTTATAGGAAAAATAGAATGGATGATCATACACTTAAAAAACTAGCCGTTAGATACAAAAAACTAGCCGTTAGATACAAAAAACTAGCCGTTTTTTTTTTAAAATGGATGTTAGGCCGTGCGGGCCGTGCGGGTCGTGCGAATTGTGCGGGCTGTGCGGGCCGTGCGGGTTGTGCCGGCCGTGCGGGTTGGGTGGGTCATGCGTGCGGGTTGGGTGGGTCATGCGTGCGGGTTAGGTGGGTTGGCTCGTGCGGGTTGGGTGGGTCATTCGTGCGGGTGGGCCGTGCGGGCTGGGTTGTGCCAGGTGGGTCGGGTTAGGTGGGTTCACGGGCTAGGTGTGTCGAATTAAATGAGTCAAAACGGGTTGTGCGATTTGGGTCGAATCAAACGGGTTAAACTGAGCTGGGTTGAAATGGGTTGTGTCGAAAATTTTGGACCCACGACACAACCCGGATTAAATCCGAGCTGTGCCGGGCTGTGCCGGATTGAAACCGGGTCGGACCCACGTGACCCACCAGCCGTGCGAGTTAGGGTGGGCTGGGTCCAACCCGGCCCACTGGCCACCTCTATATATATATATATATATATATATATATATATATATATATATATATATATATATATATATATAAACCTTTGCTTGATGAGAATTAAATAAATGTCAATTTTGTGTCTTATAGACTGCCAACAACAAATGAAAGTTATGTAACAACTGATTTCAGACAGGTACATGAAAAAAATGTAAGGAAAATAAATCAATAAGTTCTAGTAGTAAAAATTTACCATCCTAAGTAAGCCATGGCATAAGGGAGGCTAAGAACACCGGCACCGACCATGGCGGTGACGGTGTGGAAGGTTGAGTACCACCATTTGGCTCGACGAGGAGGACCCTTGTCCTGACACTCGTCAACAGAAAATACTTCCTGTACAAATATTAAGTTTTTGACGACAAATGTTAGGATTCATACAATTCATCAGTAGAACATTTGCATGGGTTCATGAATTCAGCAGAATTATATATACATTTATATAATAAGGATTATAAAATATATGCATGTTATAACCATTTTCATACCTTAGGTTCAGGAGAAGTAGAAACCATAATTTGGACTGACCTTCAAAGAGATGAAAACAATATTGTAAAGTTGGGTTTGTTTAATTTGGTGGGAGGGTATATATTTTGGGGTAGCTAATAAAGAGTAATCATAATTAAGAGACTACTTTGCAAAAAGATTAGTGAAGCATAATGAGGCATAATATAGCATGATGAAATAAAGAAAGGTAGAAAAGAGTTTATTGGAAAATGGTAAAGCACTCAATTTGGGACAAGAAAGCTAAGCAGCCGAATACAGAATGAAGCTAATTGATGGGGGTTTTGCTTTGTAGTTGTTTTTTTAGCCCAAAATAAGGGTGGATGTGCTTAGGGTGTGGGGAGGAAGGAAAATTGACATTTGGGATCCTAAAAGTAGTGGGGACTCAAAATTGAACGTTTTTGCAAATGAGAATGACTTGATTTTTTTTTTTTTCAAGGTGTCTGTTACAGTTAAAACGATGCATTCGAATACACAATGCTCATAATACACATGATAATGAATAACTTATTTGGAGAATTTATTTTACGCATGAAAATTAGCGGTTTTTTGAAGTTAATTTATTTGTTATTTGTTTCTTGGAGTTGGAGCTTCAATTTTTTTATGGTTCAAGCTCTTTTGCTTAACGGTAATGTTCAATGATTATTGTAATTTTTAAAAAAAAAAACACGTAACACGTTGAACCTCGTGTAACAAAGTACACAAACCTAGCCATAAATATGTATTGGCTAGCATGTTTATTATACATACGACGCGAGTGCATCTCTGTTTTTTCCCCCTTCTCTAATATACTAAGGGGGTGTTTGGTATAGGGATTTTATAGGGATGGAAACGGAATCATATTAGCGTTTCCGTTATAGTGTTTGGTTACGGACTAAAGTAACACAAACCGTTAGTTAGGGGTAACCCAATCCACCCAATTGTTTCCCCTGTAATAGGTGAGGAAACAAATCCCCTTTCCTTCCTCTAACACAAAAAATAAAGAAAATTCTTCTCTCTCCTCTTCACTTGCTTGATAATTCTCTGAAAATTCCCAAAAAATTTCGACGATTCTACAAGGAAGCTGCAATTCTCCAGATCTTACTCCTAAATTTTCGATTTTCTTCTGCAAATCTTCAGAAATTATCACAGGTTTGCTATCTTCATTTCTCTCATTCAATTTCTAGGGTTCATGTAGTATCAATTTTTGCGTTTTTGGTATGAATTTATCACTTGCGTGTTCAATTGCAACTTCAGAAAGTTGTTTTCGTTCAATTTCTACGGTTCATGTAGTATCAATTTTTGCGTTTTTTGGTATGAATTAATAACTTGCGTGTTCAATTGCAATCTTCAGAAAGTTGTTTTTGTTTGATTTTTGATTGTATTATTATAATTACTTCAAGTTTCAGCTACGAATGTTATTGTTTTAAGCTTCAATTCATTTGAAATTATTTAACAAACATTGGAGTTTTGTATAATTTCTTCATTTGGTAATTATATCTATGTTATGAATGTAATAGATTATTGGTGGTGCTGAACATGTCTTATTTTGCTCCATATGTATGCATTACGATGAGAAAGTTGCTGCTACTATTTTGAGTATATAGACCATGGTTTTCTGGTGCTATACATGTCTTATTTTGCTCCATATGTGTATGCATTACAGTGAGAAAGTTACTGCTACTATTTTGAGTATATAGACCATGGTTTTTTGCTTAATTTTGCTTGTTTCTTGACTAGTTTACTCCTCATGATTTGGTTGACAATATTTGTTATTTGATTAACTAGAGATTGATATAACTATTGTTTTGCCGTTTATCAGGTTCAATTGCCATTTATTTTCTGTGTTTCTTGTACAATGCCTCGACTTATGCGTTCTATAAGGAAGAAAAAGCTAAAACAAATACAAATAGTAATTGCAATGGTTATTATTATGTTGATGATGTATTGGATGTGGTATATAATTAGCGTTGTTACAATAAGGGGGGTTCAAATAAAAGATAGGAAAAGAAACAAAAAATTGTTACGGATGTTAGTATTGAGAGGGCTTTATAGGGAGAGTGATGTGAAATGCAAGAGTGAGCTTCGCGTTAATAGAAAAACTTTCAATATTATTTGTGAGATGCTTAGAGACATTGGGGTTTGAGTGCAACAAAAAACATGTCGCTTCAAAAGATAGTAGCCATGTTTTTATACACGTTGGCTCATCATAAGAAGAATAGGTCTATTGGACATTACTTCTATAGAAGTGGAGAAACCGTGAGCCGACAATTTCACCTTTGTCTAAGGGCTTTTCTCAAGTTGCATGAAGTACTACTTTACAATCCCACACCAATATTGGATGATTGTGAAGATGAAAGGTGGAAATCCTTCAAGGTATTGGTATTTTCAAAGCCCCTAAATTTTGCTAGGATTTTCTTATTTTTGCTTGTTTGTAAGTAATATTTTTTCCTATTTTTGTAGAATTGTTTAGGGGCATTAGATGGGACTTACATTAATGTAAATGTGCCTTCACAAGAACGACCAAAGTATAGAGCAAGAAAAGGAACGATTGCTATGAATGTATTGGGTGTTTGTGCACCTAATATGCAATTTATTTATGTTCTTCCTGGTTGGGAAGGCTCGGCCCATGATATGCGTGTACTTCGAAATGCTCTTTCTAGACCAAACGGTTTTAGAGTACCTCGAGGTAAGTGAAGGCCTTTTTTGTGAGTGTATATGTTTTATTAGTTTTGGTTGGAAGTAATTATTTTTTTTCAATAACTTTGAAGGTAACTATTATTTGGCTGATGCGGGGTATACGAATTGTGAGGGTTTTCTTGCTCCATATAAAGGTCAAAGATACCATTTAAAAGAATGTTTTATTAGTGTGTTTTTCTGTATTGTTGTAATCCCATCATTCTCAATTCAAGATTAGTTAATCCTATTATGTTGTTTTGATTGTAAAGTTTGGTGTACATTGATCTTGTATCGAAACATAAGGCTTCATTGGTCTAGATTTACTATTAGGATTTTGTCTTGGACATTATATTTTCTAGTTTTCATTGATTTGTACTAGTGTGCTTCATTGCCTTCATGGTTATAGGCTAGGAAATTTTGCTAAGGCACTTTAATACTGATGCATCTTAGGCACTCCAACCTCTTTTGACACAATTGATGGATCTTTGGGTGCTAATTAAATTTATGTACCTTTTAAATCTATTGTTGAAAAAAAAAAACTCATTAATCTCATAATCTCCATAATTTTACTCTTAAGCCTTGACATCTCATAACCTCTACTAGTCTGCTTGTTATCCTTTCAGTCTTTATTGCATCTGTACCACTACCTTTTTTATGGTGTTATGTTTTTGTATGTTAACATTTTCAATGGTGATTGTTAAATGATGTCTTTATTTTGGAAAGATCAACATTAGGTCAGTAGTAGCTTTAATTGATTTTTGGTTTTTTATTTTTTGTTTTTAATTTTTCAGATGGAGGCTAGTCAAGCTAAGGGTGAGGCAAGCAATCGAGGTAGAGGTAAAAATAAAAGGTATTGGACGTATGAAGCTCCGCATCTTCTATCAAGCTCCAACTAATATGAACAAACAATATGCAATTGATCTTCTTAAGAAGAAGTAGAAAGTTTTGTCCTAAGTTGTTGTTATTGGAGTTAATGTTTTAATGGTTTTTAAATGCTTTTTTTTTTTTTGAGAATACTAGAATTTCAATGCTTTTGTAATCAACAACTTATGTGACTTTGCCTATATATCTAGCATATGATATATTATGGTAATCGGTTCAAAAAATATATATATGTATATTATGGTAATTAGTGTTGCTCTACATTGTATAATGTATATCAAAAGTTAGCCAAGACATCAAAAATTAGAAGGAAAACTATTTGTTTCCAAGTTATCTATGCCAAACAAGAGGAAAGGGATTGATTACAATTGTTTACGTTTCCTTAGTAATACCAAACAACTAGTAAAGGTAACACTATATATTACCCTTTCCCCTTCTAATTTGTTTCCATTCCCTTACATTTACTAATTTGATACCAAACACCCCCTAAGTTATGTTGCCAAGTGTTCACAGTTAGCTTGCTATGCCTTTAAGGCCGGAAACTCTGTGAGAGTGTGAGGTACAAATGTTAAGAGGAAGTTAAGAATTCAAAAACTTTGGAAAAAAAAAACGGGTATAAAATAAATATTAGGAAATTTTTGTTAAAAATAACCTCCTTATAAAAGCACTTTTTTTTTTGGAAAAATCTCCTTATAAATTTCTTTCAATTTTTTTTTTTTTTTTTTTTTTTTTTTTTTTTTGCAAAAGTCGTCATACCTTAACCAAATTTTTTCTTGCAAAGTCATACCCTTGTGGCAGAAAATGAGATTTGACCCTATTTTTCGGCGTTGACTACCTTAATCCACCGTCAAAATCGTTCCCCTCCCCAGCCCCACCCAAAACCACCCTTTCATGACGTTGACCACTCTAAACCCTCGTCTACTGCCCTAGCCACCCCTCTCCTCTCCAATGTTGGCGTCGGTACCCATGTCGCGCCCTCAAACCCTAAATTTACACTCGAACCACTCTAAATCCTGATTTCGCGGGGTGGTGGAAAGGAGGGGGTTTGATTTCCTTAGTTGGGATGAAGAGAGGAGGCGGTTTTGTGGGTGGGGCTAAGGAGGGGGTAATTTCGTTAGTGGGGCTGAGGAGGGGGGGTTTGTGGGTGGGATTGAGGTAGTCAACGTCGGAAAACGACCTTAAATCAAGGTATCATGACTTCCCAAAAAAAATTTGATTAATATATGACTTTGCAAAAAAAAAAAAAAAAAAAAAAAAAAAGGTGTTTTTATAAGGAGGTTTTTGACAAATTTTCCTAAATATTATAAGACGAATGTAAATTTAATTTTAAAATGATCAAAGTCATTCCAATAGCTGATTTTCTGAAAAATCTAAAATAAAAGTTACTTGTATATTTTTTTTTTCCCCTTTTTTCATTACAATATACTTCGTACTTACTAATGTTTTTCATTGATAGATATTAAATTGCTCTCTTTGCATAAAATAACCCTTTGTACCTAAATTAGATTAGTTTTAATGTAAAAAGCTCATCATATCAACTCCATTTTTGTTAAGCATTAAAGTATAGTCATTTGTTGTCCATTTTTAATTACGGCCATTATTGTCTTTTTGAATCAATGTCTAGTTTCTTTCTTCCACTTCACCCTTTTTTTTTTTTGACCAATCTCCTTGCCTGCTTGATTATTAATTTATAACTATGAACTCCCAATAGTTTTCCTCAAATTTAATTTTTGACATGAATTTTGCTTTCTCCCCAAAAGAAAAGACAAAATCTCTTATATTTGGCTTAGGGCCTGTTCATATTTACTTATTTTCAGTTCAGTTCAGTTTAGTTCAGCTCCAATCAGTTCAGTTCAGTTCAGCTCCAATCAGTTCAGCTTTTAATTTCCCTCTCTCATAAAATATTCATTTCAGCTTAGTTCAGTTCAGTTCAGCTCAGCTCCAATCAGTTAAGATAAGTTCAGTTCAGTTCAGCTCCAATCAGTTCAGTTCAGTTCAGTTCAGCTCAGTTCAGTAAATATGAACAGGCCCTTAGTAGAAATGACAGACATACATTAATTTTTATGTGATTAGTGATTAACTAGGTTACGCTTATTGCTAATTAACAAGTTTGGTACATTTTAAAGTTTATCAAATTAATCCAAAGGATACCTATCAACAACATTAAAATTTTAAAGATATTTCTGCTTAAAATTTAGTAGAATGTTAGGTAGGTAGGGTAAGCAATGATTACTAATAAGTGATTTAGAAGCTGATTAGTGGGTTAGTTTATGAAGTAAAAGTGGATTAGAGTTGGTAATCATCAGTCAAAAAATCATTGGAAGTGTCCCCCGTTGATTGTACAAACGCGTGTGGGTAATTTATCAAGCAACGAAAATGTAAACTTACTCAAAATTAAGATTTCAACCAATGATAAGCAAAAGTAGCACCAAAACTTGATGATTGTTGAGCCCCTCAAAGTCCCATGTAGGAGTGATTTATAATCATATTTAAGATTAAAATTATTACTCTTTTCGTTCCCTAAATTTTGCCCCGTAGAGTAAATTATTTACTAATTTTTGTTTTTAAAAAAAAAGTAATGGGTTAATGGGGTGGTGAGTAAGACCCTGTTCTTTAGAGTTGTGCTCTGCTTTGTTAAAATTTGCTCTGCTGATTCAGTCTACTGTGTTGACAACTGCTTTGCTCTGCCTATAAGCTCAAAAGAACAAGACCTAAAGGTGTAGACCCATATATTACTTTTTGGTGTATTAAATTTATTTTTGGTGTGCCATGATTTTGGTATAAAATTCATTGCCACTCTGAAGTAATTCTATACCCAAATGAAATCATGGTGTTGGACCCAACACCATGATTTCAGTATAGAATTCATTGCCACCGTACAACATTTCTTGGTAGTAATGTTAAAAAAAAATAAAAATAAAATAAAAATAAAAATAGAAACCTAAATGTTGACATCACATATGACTACAAAATGTCAAAATCCAGTGTCTATAATTGATGCCATAATATGAAATCATGTAAATTTATGTCAAGTCATAGAAGAGAAAAACAGTTTTTAAAAAAGTTCACCTATAGGTAATATTATTCTCATATATGAATAAAAATGAGTTCATTATTCAAACTTTTGGGTGTAGTAGCTGATCTAATAAGACTGCTAGCCCCGCTGTCTCTGAGGAGGAGGAGCAGCAGCCTCTGCTCTTGGTGCAGTTAGTGACGGACTTGAGGTATCAACACCCTGAATTTAAGGAAAAATAATTGTAAGTTTAAGTTCCACCAAAATACTACTTTGTTCAAATCAAGATGTTACAGCTCACAAAGGCTACACATATTGAATTTTTCCAAGTCCATATGATTTGTACTTAAAATAGTTTAACATTGTGGGGTGGACAACAGAAATCTACAGATTAAGGAGGGTGAAAATCACTTTAATAAAAAATAAAAAAAAATAAACAATCCTAATTTCGGTAAACTGTATACGTGTTGTATATTGATCCTCCTATTTTTGCATTGTTCATTTATGGCAAAGAAAAATCCCACATATACCTCACTTACCCTATCAAAAGGGTATACTTACAATATCACCAAATAATTTTCCCATTCTAACCTCAAAAAAAAAACCTCATATAATTTGGTTTTTGTTGTTACTGGAAATAGGAAGATATAAAAGCGGAGGAAATACAAGTAATTTTGAGGATAATTTATAATATAAGATCTCAAAAAACATACCAGGGGAAAAAGCATTCCAATGATGTGTGTTGGTTGCTCAGAAACAGTTAGTACAAGTATCTGAGTTGAAAGGTTGATAACTGCAGACTGAACAGGTGAGAAAGAATGAGAAGCATACATTAGAAACCGGAAAATTCACAACATTGTTGATCGTTGCTTAAGGCCCTGTTCTCTTCACCTTAAAAAAATAATATTAAGTAAAAATAATTTTACTTCAGTAAAAATAAGTTCACTTCAGTATAATTAATTTCAGTCAGTAAAAATAATTTTAGTTCAGTAAAAATAAGTTCAGTTTAGCAAAAATAAGGTGAAGAGAACGGAAAGATTAGTGGGCTTAATCTAAATTACAACAAACAGCCATATGGCTCATACCAAAAAAAAAGGAAATAATATTCAAAGTACAAGACAATGAAAATGGGAAGTATTCATGGGAGTATGGGACGTAGGGAATAAAATTCACATTTTACTTCATCCGTTTTTAAATACTTGCTCCATTTTTCCTGGCCACGTATGCCGATGCTAATCTTTCACCAATAATATCTTTGATTATCAATAAGTATAAATTCTAATAATTTTGTAATGAAAAAAATTATGAAAATTTCCCACCCCCAATGGTGATCCCCCACCATTAATCGAAAACCTGCAAATTCTCGGAGTTTCTAGTTAGTCGTCCGCCATGTTATTAAGAGGTCGTTAGGCTTCCGGTTAATCGCCCTTAAGCTTCCATCGATGATATTTCGAGACTAAAAAATGCAGAAATGAGGGTATTTTGGCTTGAAAGGCTTGAATCAATTCAAATCCTTAACAAGATCTTCTTCTGCGAAAACCTTATCAATTTACTAACAACCAACTTCCGATTCATCAAGAGGTTTTAGCAAGGGTGGGGCGTCGCCGGCCGGGGTGGGGAGTTAGGGTATTGGGCGGTTGGGGGATTTCGAGGGTTTTTGGGAGAAGGAAGGTGGTGGTTCAGGGATGGGGGAGATACACGGCAGGGCGGGGGAGGCCGCCGTAGGTCGGGAAAGGGGAGTGGGCAGCGCTAGCATGGTCGGATGCTGGTGGGGGAAGGGGGGCAAGCTTTTATTTTTTAAAAGAAAAATTATTTTTAAAATCAATTAAATAATATAAAATAAATAATAATAAAATAAAAACTAAGTATGGTTAAATATTTAGTTTAAATTTGTCATTAATGTTATAGGTAGCTTAACAAAAAAAAATCAAGTTTATCAACGATAATAAGTTTTTTTTGCAATTTACCACTGAGAAAATTAAAAAGTATAATGTTACCCAAGAAAATTTTCCTTAATTTTTCCAATTAAAATTTAGTCATACAAAAACTTATTCTGTAAGATGAATTGAACAAGGTCTTAGGCCTTATTTAGTTAATCTTATTTTTGCTTATGTGAAAATATTATTTCTAATCTGATCTAATTATTTAATTTGACCAAACTTTGACCTTATATGTACACTCAAGAGGAGTTTTGTTAGATTCATAATTATGTGTATTCAATTAATATGTAATTTTCATAATTTTTTTCATTACAAAATTAAAGATACTTAGCAACTAAAAATCACACAAAAAACGATAAAGTATGTTTAGAACTTATTTTCCCTAATTTGATTTGCGAAATTTGATCTAATCTTAAATAAGTAATAAGGTTCTGAAATAAGGTGAACTAAACAGGGCCTTTAACCTAAAATTCAATATCTTGTCTTCTTCTTAGTTTATCTAAAATTAGTCAAACACAATAGGGCCACTTTAACCTAAGATTAAATATCTTATCTTATTTGTAGTTTATAATTATTTTTAATAATTTCTTGCAAGTTGCAACTCTTACTCTGTAGTTTGACACTATGTATACATGAAACACCATAACTTTAGGCAACACTGGTATTTATAGATTAGTGCTATTTTAGTTTAGCCAAACACAAAAAGCTACTCTAAAAAGTTAATACCAAACACACCTATTGTTCATCAATGAATTTTTTTGTCAGTTACCAACAACAAAATATGTAGTATTCTGAGTATAGATTCAAAGAAATTGACTTAAGCAAATACTCATAAAGCAAGTTACTACAAAGATAAAGATACCACAGTCTTGAATAACTTACAAGCTTTTTAGTAAGCATCATCCTGATAAAATCGTGTGGTTCCATCACATTGAAAGCCAGAAGAACTGCTTTCCCAACATTGTACCTAGAAATGAACAGAAGAAACTACATTTAGAAAAAATTTCCAGATATATAGTTAAGAAAAAGCAGGAACAAGTGAGACTATGCTTAAAAAGTGTTCAGAAGTAATTTGCAAAGGCATTACTCATGATTTACGCGAGCCTGTGTAATCAACCGAGTCATTGTTATGGAGTACGGCCAACCAACAACAGCCCTGAAAAGCAAGAAAAAAACAACATTCACTATCATGATACATCAAAACTCTTTAAGATAGGATGGATTCTATTTAATAAGCCGTCACAGTACAGCTCTCAAGGAGTAGCAGCAACAAAACAATATGTTTCCCGAAGAGAGAGAGAAGAAGAAGGGATAAAAGTTTCTAGGCTTCAAAGAGATTCAACTTTCAGGCAAAAGTTTTCTCTTTGCAAGCTAGAGGCTAGAGCATAACAGCCAGTCTCAATGGTTAAATCCACCACTAGCTTATCAATAGCAAACCCACAAAACAATATGAAGCCACTCTCAGCATATGAGACATTTTGAATTATCCAATTTGTACAGGCCCGAGACAGAAGTATGAGACTACATAAGTTTATATGAATTCAACTACTAGCTACGATGTCTGAGAGAATTTCCTTTCTGATATAGTTATAGTTTTGCCCATTTTTTATGTTTCTGAATTTGTCTAGTGTGACTGTAACCTTTGGTTATGAAGTATAGCCTATTGGCTGGAAACAGTATTAATGTTTTAGTTTCTATGTTTTAGTTTCTTAGTTCGTTATTCCTAGGGAAGATGGCTTTTACTTATCCCATGTCAATTGTCCAGTACTTTGTAAGGGGAAATCTTTCCATAGGGCTTCAGCCTTCTCCCATAACTGGGGCTTCCGCCTGCAAGACCTTTCATTGTATATCAAAAAGCATAAGGTGCTGCAACTATATTTCTGCTAGCAAAACATTAAAATGCAGGCATAGAATAACCCTACTCCAAGTAGCCAAGATACCCAACTTAACTGATCCCTTATCGATCTGATCAGTGAGCTAGTCTTACTCCCTTTAGCCCAATAAATAGGCAATTTTAAGTTTGGCCTAATATAATCCTTGTTAAGTAAGATCCGTGAGTCCGTGACACTATGACTAGAGCTAGCTAACCTTAAGGTCTGTGCCAAGCCACTTTAGACCTATGCAGCATGGAGATTACATTTAGGTGGCATACCATGTACCTAATATGGCATGGAGATAGGTACGCCTAAGTATGATCTCAGAATATGTTGGAAGGGAAAACAGGCTGTACAATCTCTCACCAATATTACAAATTATATTTCATCTGCTGCAATCCCAGTGAACTTCCATCCCAGCTATAAGGTGTGCACATTCAAATTTATGAAATATTGCTGCTCTGTTGTCACAACTATTTTTGATAGGCATTAAAAAGTAATCATTCAAGAAGAATAAAATAATTTGCTGATGTGAAAAATTACAAATGAAATTTTTTACTTACGCTGCAAGACCCGAATTAATGTATGCCTGCCAAAGGAAATGTGGATATGAGCTTTTAAAATAAGTGTCACCAGGTAATAACACCTTTCTACACTATACTACCTCCGCTTTTTATTAGTTGACACGTTTTAACTTTAGCACTATTCACACACTTCCCTTTGACCGTGTTTTGTGATTTATATATAATAAAAAAATATAGTGATGTGGGATCTTGTTAGAATTGTCACGATATATATTTTCTAACTATTTAATTTTATAATATTTGCTTATCGAAAATTAAAGATATTAATGGTTGAATTTGTGCATTGGCAAACGTGACTAAAGAAAACGTGTCAACTAAAAAGAAACGGAGGAAGTATAAAACAAGGGTTCTTTAGTGATGCATTAAAACATACCTTCAATCTAGTAATAAAGACAGCATGCCCATCTCTTAAACAGAACAAATTTCCCTGCAGTAATGGCACTTGTTAATATGCAGTAAATACACTTTCATTGTACTCCGTCCGTCCCAATATACAGTTCTTGTTTGTATTTTTTCACGGTATTTAATAAATAGGAGGAGAAAGTGGATGAAGTACACTAAAAAAAATAAAAAAAAGTACAATTATAGACAAAAGTTAGAGAGAGAAAGTGAAAAAAAATACAATGCATGAGCAAAATTCAAGGGTAATTTAAGAAGTACAATGAATAAAGTTAAAAAAAATTGAGGGTATAATGGTCTTTACAAACTATCCAAAAATAGAAACAGGAATAACATTTTGGATCTCAAAAATAGGAAAACATGAACTATATTGTGGGACAAAGGGAGTACTTTTTTTTTAGCAATAAAGGATTACAATGACATAGGAATAGAGTAGGAAATCACTAATACAGATAGAAAATACTCAAAATAGTGTGCACATAGTGATGAATTAAATTGAATGGTTTTTTTTGTTTTTTTTAGTGAATTGTTTTTTTTTTTCAAGGACAAGAAGTTTTAGCATTTAAGATGGCTATAAAGTTATCCAACAAGTACATGTCAAAATACACAAGCCAATAAATATAAGCTATTAAACCCAAATCAGACTGCAAGGGTAAAAAAGAAAGGAAACAAGAAACAGCTTTATAGCATACTTTGTATATTATTACCAGATAAAAGCTCATCAATTGTACCATAGTATGCAAAATTTTAAGCACTTAAGTTCAACTTCACAGCAAAGTTAGATGCGACAAACCTCCCACGCCATTTTATATTTGGAATTATCCATTGAATAACCAGGAAATCCATGAATCGTAGGAATGCTAGGTGCAGGCATTCCCAGCACGGAGGATTCAGAGCTATATGCTAGATCTGTTGAGCTATGGCTCATTGTTGTATCCAAATTCATACCCAAACTGCCTTCATGTTGAGCATTTACTAGATTCATGTTAGAGTTCATCTGTCCCATTTCAATATTAGTATTTCCTTGAAAATTGCTTGAAGTATGTACAAGGTCAATAGAGGAGACATTGGTTTCAATTTCAGTTGCTAAACTGGAATTCACTTCAGTGTCCTTGACATTTGAAGTTCCTGTTGGAAAAAGAAGATAGTTCATCAATTTGAAAGAATTTCACTAAGCGCAGATTTACACTTTGATTGGATAGGAAAATCGAAAGGACAAAAAAGGGGGAAGAGAAAGAGGAGGGGAGAGAAAAAGAAAGGGAAGGGGAAGGTAGAGCTCCATATTCCCCTGAAATCTCTCCAATTTTAGAATGATAGTGTTGATTAAAGAAGGGAGAAAAATGGATCCTTCCCTCTTGTTGGAATAGGCCTTTGAATCTGTTTTCCCTTTATTGGCTACAATTTTCTGTTTAGGCCTATCTCCTTTCTATTTTAGGAGTACTATATAAAAGTTTTAGCTTAGCCTATAATCTGTAATTTTCTTAAAATAAAACATCCTCTTGCCTGCCCATGGACATAACTAGCACATCAATCTGTGTGTTCTTATTGTCTTTCATTAATCAATCATGCAACTGTTGCAGCTTACAACACCTCTCCCTCCCCTTCCTTTCCCCAACCTCTTACCCAAACAAGGTGAAAAGGACTGGATTTTGAGATATTACGTAGTCTTCACTATACAATTGGATCACACGTCAAATCCAAAAAAATCAAGGATCCATTATTTATCAAGAGTGTAAGAAACCACTTTAGTTGGAATAAAAACGCAAAACCTACTAAACTCACCTTGATTACTTGATAGCAACACTATGCCTAACAAGAACAAATAGACTATAGCTAAACTCATCAAGGAAGAAAGAAAGGAACTTCGCTGAGTAAAACAATAAAAACTTTAAAAAAATAAAAAAATAAAAATTAAACAAATAAAAAATAAAAAAAAAAACATATAAAGGGAAGAGGGGTTTTGAGTATAAATTTTAAATTGCCTTTTTTACCCTTCTTCCAATAGACTAAAATACCCTAAGTTAATATTTTTTAAAATTCAATTTTTTAAAAGTTAATTACTGATTTAAAATATTAATTATACCCAAAAATAAATAAACTATTCGTTAGAAATTTCTGAAATTAGGATATGTCATACACTGATACACGTCCATCCCATACAATCTTCCACCATTTGTTATAAAATAATATCAGTTATCTAATTATCTAAAAAAAATAAAAAAAAATAAAAAAAAAAAACTACAGCAGTTATTTTTTTTTTTTTTGTGAACGAAACTATGAGTACTCCTCTCTTTAACTACCCTATTTTCACAAATACTTAAATTTAACCCTTATTGATGATTTTTGTGTTAGGTACAGTTTGAGGGAGAATCAGAAAATTACTTGCAATATTGATGCCAATTTCTTGAATATTAAAAGCATCACATTGTGTTCTTATTTCCAAAAAAAATGGTATATCAAGGTTTGACGTGTGCTATTTTTATCCAAATTGTCACCATCAGCTAAACTGACTGATCATTAATGATATAACAAAAGACAAAAGCCCAAAATTGAATTTAAGAATCAATAGCAATGCCACATGAGAGAAGAAAAACAATTGAATCATAACAAAGGTCAGAAACACATTACCCAATTGAGAAGATTAAATTCAAGTAAAGAACACAGCATCAAGAGTCGCAAAATATAGTTCTATATTAATAGATAACCAACCAATGCATCACACTGAAATTAGAAGTAACAACCTGATGGATTAGTAGTAAATGCCCCTGCCTCAGGATGCGAACTTGATAAAGGTTCCTGTTTTACTACCAACATTGTCAAATTTAAAGCATCTTGAGCCTCTTTAAAATCCTCCGATATCAGAACAAGGTAATTATGATGCTGATTCCGAACAGGTGGGTCTTCTGAATAAGGGTTGCGTTTTCCCTAAATTAACAATTTGGACCACGTTAATATCATCAAAACAGTTACTCCAAGCAAATATTATAGTTACAGTAACAATCCCATTTCGTAGGAGAATAAAAATACTCTGGAGTGCCTCTATTTTTTGTTCTACTCACTTTTCATTTAGGGATAAGGGTTTTGTTTTTTTTTTTTTTTTTTTTTGGGGGGGGGGGGGGAGGGGGGTTCTACTCAATTTTAATTCCATATTGGCAAACTCCCTTTACTATATTACTTCCCACAATCCCACATAACTTACTATATATACAATTATACACATTTCCACTTCTCACACTTTATTTACCTTTTTCTTACAACACTCACCTTTTCAAAATTTTCTTAAGCAACCTTCCTTTCCTTTATATTCTATTACTCTCCGTCTTACAAAAAACTATTCATTGCTCCCTTGGGTTGGTTCTGCTTAGCATAATGTCGTTTTGAGTTTCCTCCATTTTTTTCTTCATCCCCGATACTTAGGGCTGGCAAAAACTGACCCGACCCGAAAACCCGACCTGAACCCGACCCGAAAAAAGTGGGTTAGGGTTGAGATTTTCGACCCGAAAACTTAAATGGGTCGACACGAACCCGAACCCGAAATTAAATGGATCATGTTAAGGTTGAAAATCTCAACCCGAAAACGACCCACTTAACCCGAAATAAATTTCAGGTCAAAATCAGGTCAGGTCAACCCGAAGTATTTTAAGTGAAAAAAAAAACATAAAAAGCCTTAAAACTCTAAATAAGTAAATAAGCCCAGCCCAAATTCCTTAGAGGCTTCTTAATGTAAAATGAAAACCCTAAACCCCTCTCATCCTACACTCATTTCTTCAGCCGTTTTCACTACTTTTTCCCACTTCTCTCTCTTCTCTCTCCTCAAAAACCCTAAATCACTTCACGGCTTCACCATTGTTCAATCAAAGTTCTTCAAGTCTTCACAATTGTTGATTTCGACTACAATTCTTATCTTCTCACTCTCATACGGTATTTTTCTTGTTTATTGTTCTTAATTTGTGAGTTTATACGAATTGATTTTGTTATTTTACAAGTATATACAAATTGATTTATGCGAATTTATGCTGGTTTATGTAATTATATGAATTGATTTATGGATCTATACGAATTCATGCTAGTTTATGTAATTATATGAATTGATTTATGCAAATTTATGCGAATTTATGCTGGTTTATGTAATTATACGAATTGATTTATGGATCTATGCGAATTTATGCTAGTTTATGTAATTATACGAATTGATCATGCAAATTAATATTAATAGTTGTTGTATTTATACGGTTTTACATACTAAAATTATGTTCTTAATTATTGTTTGTGTTATTTTTAATGGCAGCAAGTTGCGGCCACTCAAATCCATCTTTCTTTCAGAGAGGAGAAGTTTCATTCCACTATGGAGGGTGGGCATAACAAAGAGATTTGAAGATTTTATTTAAATCACTATAGTTTTTGAAATTCAATTTGTAATTTGTTAAGTAGACTACTTGGTTTGTAATCTATTAAGTAGTTTTGTTAGACAATTTTGTTTGGGTTTGAATCGCTGTTTTGCTTCAGAATTTAAAATGCAATTGAATGAACTGCAAAAAAAAAATACCTTTTGAATGAATAAAATCAGATTGGCTGGGTTGACCCAACCCAAATAAATCAACCTTTTTTAAGGCCTAAAAAAGTTTTTGGTCAAATCAGGTCATTTTCAGGTTGACCCGAACCCGAAAAAATTAGGTTCAGGTTGAGGTTTTCAACCCGAAACATTAAATGGATCAGGTTCAGGTCAGGGGGTAGCTGACCCGAACACGAACCCGACCCGACCTGATCCGATTGCCAGCCCTACCGATACTCTCCTAAAACTATATGCCTAAAAGAGATGGGAAATTTGTTGGATGAATGGGGTGCACCTTACAACCCATTTCTAACTTCCCTTTGGAAAAGATGTCAAGATATTGAGTCAATTGTTTTACCAACAACTTCCTCCCCTACTTTCAATCATCTCTCCAAATAACAGCATTAAGAACCATTTCTATATTATACAACAACAACAAAATTAGTTTTATCCTAGGCCAAGACATAAATACAAATATACTATTATGTCACCAAGCTTATACTACCTCCATTTTCCCAAGTCTTACTCACTTTCCATTTTCATCAGTTTTCTAAGTTCTAGGTTCTATTCACTTTTAATTTATTCCTTTTATAACAACTTTTTATTCATTTTATAGTGTCCCCCAATTTTATTTAACATAACTCTTACTCTCTATCTCTGTACTCTATAATACAAATGTACCCACATGTATGACCCCATTTTTACTTTTCCTTGGTTTGGTAGCTAAGTAAGTCTAGCAGAGGTAATAAGTTTAAATTCTTATAACATTTATCAAACATCTTCTCGATGTATACCAACAATTTCTTCCCATTAAAGTCGCTACATGTTTCAAAGATAAGAAGAAGAAAAAAAAAAAAAAGGGTTTAGCATTCCAATGTTAATTTAGCTTTAAAAACTAAAATCTGACAAGCAACCAATTCTTATATGGATTAATTGCTTCCCTTTCTTAGTTTATACTACTCCCTCTATTCCTTTGTATTCCTTACATTTGGTATCAGCATGCAAATTCACAAAAAATTAAAGTGGGGATTTTTTTAAGAATTTATATACGATAAATCCACTTTTATGATTACTTTAATCAATAGAAGCCTTTAGAGATGCAAAAAAAAAAAAAAAATATTTGATGAATAAAAAAAAAAAGGACACATTTCTTTTAAAGAAGTGGAGATATAATTGGAATATTATGCATACTATGATAAAAAGGTAAAGAATAAAGGAGAACACCAAAACCGAACACGTAAAGAATAAAAAAGAGCAGATGGAGTAGTTGTTAAGCAGGTGATTTTCCTAGGGTAGAGGTTTGTAAAATGTAGTTAATTTCTTGTCCCTAATAAGAATTTTGATATCTTTCAAAAAAAAAAAATAAGAATTTTGATAACAACAGGGTCAAAATTATATACCTAACCAACAGTCGTACATTAAACCCAACTAATGGATTACGAATAATAATGATGCGATTTATGTGTAGCACTTAATATGGTTCACAAAAGTTTCCCTTGTAGATAATTTGAATGAATGTACATTTTATTTTTATTTTTTTTAACCTTTCCAAGTTAAGTGTTTAATTTTTCAATTTTATTTTAAAATCATTCTCTTATTTGTAAACCATTATGTTAGTTTACAACTTTGATTTTAATTAGTAGAAAAGTAAATTAATTATGTTATTTTGGGATCATGTTTTTTAATAATTTTTAAAAAGTATTTATTTTTCTTATGTAGCACTCTATATGCTCATGAAAAGTTCCTGTATGTTACTAGTAACAAAATTAAACTTAGGTAAATTCTCATCGGCAACCCTATACTTTTGCCGAGTATTTTTGTGGGCAACACAAAAGTTAATAAATATCACAAGCAACCCTTTAACTTCTATTACTCTGTATCAACTAGATATAGAATAAGTAAAATATTAAATGTTAATTCATTTAGTTTAATTAGCCATGATTAAAGGGTTATTACAACTCAAATATTCTTAAACTCATCTTCTTTAATCAACCTTGACGACCCACCTTCACCGCTAACACTACCATATACTCCCTCTGTTCTTATTTGTTTGCCCAAATTCAATTTTGGGATGTCCCTTAAAGATTGCCCCTTTTACTAATATTGTAACATGTCCCCACCACTAAACCCACTTGCATACACTCATAAAAGTGAAAAAGACAAATACACACTCATCCACTTACAATATTTGGTTCAATCCTTAATAAAGCATATTTTGGTTATGGGGCAAACAAATAAGGATAGAGGGAGTACCACCGAACAACACCACCCAACCATTAGCACAGACCATTTAACCACCAGCCAGCCACCATAAACTGCCTATCACCTATAAAATCAACCACTACCACCCAACTCTTCTCCTCCCTCCACCACGACTCTTTTAGCCTTCTGCACCAAACATCTACGATCACCAACCTCTCAATCTACAAACACCAAGCTCTCAATCTACAAACAATACCTCTCCTTTATATCATAATCATTCACCACACAAACCCTAAATAGAATGTTAAATCCCCTTTATAAAGATGTCAAATTCGTACTCTACCTTCTTCTTTGATTCATCGTAAGCTGTTAGGTAGAATTAGGGCTGCAAATGAGCTGTTACGTTTGTGAACAACTCGCTAACAAGCTCGGTCAAAGCTTGTTTATTAAGCATTGAACGAGACCGAACAAAAATTTGAGGCTCGTTAAGTAAACGAGCCCAACTCGAACACCTTTGTGCTCAGCTCATTAATGTTCACAAACACTCGTTCATAACTCGTACATATGATCGTTCATATGCTCATTTATAATTCGTTCAAGCTCGAAACAATTAATTTCATTGTTTTAATTATTCTTAAAATAGTACAATTTTAATATGGAACCAAATTAATTATAATCAATTATTGTACATAATCAAATTAGCCATGTTTATAAAATCATATAAAATTAAAATATTATTATTTTTAAGAAAGTGAATAGTATATTTGCTCAAATTTCCCATTTATAATATCAAATACTCAATTACTGCCTATCTTGTTGTTATGATGAATATCATCAAACGACTTTTCTAATTAGAGTATACTTATAGTTTTTCAAAGTTGATTATATTAGCTTGATTGAGCTCGTTCACGTTTGATCGTGTTCACATTAGAGCTTGTTCAAGCTCGAGCTCGAATCACAGACGAACAAGCTCAAGCCGAGCTCGAACAAGGCAAAACCTTAATGACCAAAGCTCGAACACAAAATTATCAAGCTCGAGCATGTTCGAACACTTGAAATCTTTACCAAGCTTAGCTCGAACAAGTTAAAACTCGACTCGACTCGGCTCGGATCATTTGCAGCCCTACGTAGAATCACTAATTGTGGCATAGAAAGGGGTGGACCTGATTCCGTGCCGTACAAAATGGAAGTGGGTTGAACATGGAGGAGAGTGGCAGAAGTTGCTAGGGCAGAGGTACTTTTGAACAGGCCATTTTGACAAAGAAGGCGCTCTCATTGGGGAATGGAGGAAAATCACAATTTTCCGATGGTGTCATCAACGGAACTTTGGCAGTGGAGAAGGATGGTGGATTAAGGATGGTGGATTAGCGGAAGTAGATAACGATCGTATAATTTTGATTGAGAAAGGTTGATGGCAATGCTCTGGGAGAATTTACTTCATTCCATATTGGCTCAAATGTTCTTTTTTCATGTTGCCAATGCATAATTTCAATCGTAAATATCTCTAATTATCAATAAGTAGAAATTATAAATAAGTAAATATTTTGCAAATGCACATTGAAAATAATCTAATAAGATCTCACACAACTAAATATTTTCTTATCTATAAATCACAAAAGCTAGTCAATGTAGAATTTGTGAATAGTGTCAAAACGTGTTTATCATTAATTTGGAAGAAGTTTATATTTTCACTAATTTGGAAGAAGTTTATATTTTCACTAGCCATGTAAGATTCTTAACCTGTTTATCATTAATGCCATGCTTTGTTAAGAATACAAAAAGAACAGGATTATTTGTGATATTTGATAACTTCATTTGTTGACAAAAGATAATCATAAAATGTTACAAAAGAGAGTATCCCTTAAATTTTTCAACTGGATTTGGTCCTCACTATGTTAGTCTAGCCTGGTTGACCTTTCCATGATATGATTCTAGCCTTTATAAAATAAATTTTTTAAAAAAAATTAAAAAAAAAAACACTCTACTAGGTGATTAAAGAGGACAATGGAAGCTTACTTAATTACTTAAGGTTTAAAGGTTATTATGGTAACAAAATTGTTTGTACATTCACAAAATAACCTGAAGTTCATATCCACCTCCAAACACATCAAAATTTCTAGTTTCTATAGGATGCCTAAGGCTCTCTTAGTGTAGCAGAAGTTATTTTGTATTAAAACATCTAACTTATTCGAACTTACTGCCTGAATTAATTTATACTTATCTTGTCTAAAGTTATCTTAACTTATTTTGTCTAGAATAAGTCAAATAAGTAAAATTAAGTCAAACCAAACTGACCTAATTCCAAAAACCCTACATTCTAACATTAAAAATATCCACCAAGTATAAAGTCATAACCCTGAACTTCCACATACTAGCCCAACCTCAAAGTTCAAAGAAATTCATTAACAATTTTATATACTACCTCCGTTACAGGTTATGTGCAACGATTTGACATAAAGCAGAGAGAGAAAATGTCTAATCGTTGCACATAACCTGTAACGGAGGTAGTATATATATATATAAAAAAAAAAAAAGGTCAAGATAATCAATCATGTAAAGTATGCAATCAGTTATCAGACCAAGCTAAACAAGAACTACGTAACAGGATTTGCTAAGCAATGAGCAGCATACCGCTTCATAGAGTGCCCTTATTTTGGGTAACTTCCGTGGACAAATGACTGAGAGAGAAACAGAGCACTGCACATGAAACAGAAAGTAAGGCAGGTGCAAATGGGAGATCATAAGAATGATTTCTTTTCATTTCTATTTTCTATATCTCCTGTGTTTATAAAAGATGCAAGACAAGCAAAGCAACTTCATACTTTTCCAAACCACCCAGCAACCGTCTCAGCATCATGACAAGGTGACGGATCTCCACAGTTATCAAAATTTGGTCTATAAACTGGTACTGGTAATGGAAAGGGATTTGAACCAGCAACAAGAATACAGTGTCTTTTTCCAACTAAGTTCTCCTCGGTCATGAATCCATTTGGTGGTACAGCAAACATCTGTGAAATAAATTAAAAGATAATATACACATAAGTGACATAACTCACTTTTGATTTCCTCCGCCTTAGAAAGGTGAAATATGAGCTATCTCAACACTGAAAAATTACAAATCCAAAAAAACCAAGGCCAAAGGTTACAAGATCCAGAGACTTTTACTAGCAATAACGTAATTGTAGGTGTCACAATTACAAATGATGAAAAAAATAGAAAAATCAAAGAGTGCCTCCTTACAGCATTATAATGCCACAGTAACTTTACTTAAAAGTCCAAAATCCAATTACTTTATTAAATAGATCAACCTAGGGTTTCACTATACAATACTCGAAGATAGTTTTAATGTAAATTTATCAAAATGTGCTCCCTCCCCCAACAAGAAAGATTACCATCCCAAATACAATCTATTCAATTTAACTACCCAATAGCCAAATTATGAAAATTTCTAAGGAGCATATAGTATTATTCTATTATACAAGAAATGAAAACCTAGGGCACCTCAATAAAAAATGGCCCCAACTAAGGGCCTATTCTCATTGACTGAACTTAGCTCACCTGAGGTGAACAACTTAACTTAGAGCTGAGCTAAACTGAAATGAATATTTTATAAGAGAAGGAAATTAGGAGCCGAGCTAAACTGAACTTATTTTAGTAGAGCTGAGCTGAACTGAAATGAAAATAATCGTATGAGAATAGGCCCTAAGGCACAACATTTAAAGCTTCCTGAATTCAATTAGGGTACAAATCAACAAGTTAGCTGATAATTAAGGTTGAACACAAAAACCGGGTTCGAAACCTGTTGTGAATCAATTAGCCTTTGCTCTTTGTCCACCCCCACATCCCCTCTAAACCAAAAGGTATAATTAGATCACCATGAAGATAAAAATTGCTACACCATCAAGGGAATTCTTTATATAAACACAAAATTCACTTTAACCAAGGATGATTTCAATACTTTAGACAGTTAATAAGCAATATAACAGCAGAATTCTCAGTCAATTTTATACAAGTTATCATATACTTTCCTCAATTGAGAGAAGATGTATAAAAAGCAAAGAAATTTAGATATTGTAATGAATGTTGAATATAAAAAGAACCCAGAAAAGAACATATTATCAATTGCAGAAATCAGCAGTTTTCAATCAGAAAATTCAGATTTTACCTCGGTTAGAAACCCTCAAAATATGGGTGTTGAAAGCCATTGTTGAAGAATAAGGTAATAGTTAAAACAAAGTATATTCCTTTCTCCCATGATTTTGTAGGGTAAATCTTCTGAGACATAGTATGGGAGGATGAAAAGTAGAGCACAATGTTGAAGATGGAAGCCATCGAATACCAGAAGAAAGAGACAGCGCGCGCATCAAAGGAGATGCCTGAATCGTTTTCATTTTTTTTGTATTTTTGTTTTTTAGTTTATGTTTAGTGTCTTGAAACTACAATACTCCCTTTATCCCTAAATTACATTCCAAAAACTTTTGTATGCCCTCGTTTTACAATAATTTTATTGTACATCGAACATCTTACGAAAAGTGACATTTTTTCGTACTAAAGTGACCCTTTTTTTTTTGAAAAATGGAAATAAATAATCTCACCTTTGCCCGAACTGAAAAAGTGAAAATAACAAACCCACCTTTTGATATTTACGAGGCAAAGCCACCTTTGTACGTCATCTTCTTTTAATGAACTTTGACCTGTTGGTGACCGAATTTAGTAGGTTGTATGCCACGTGTCAAATTTTAATTGGTGCATTTCATTTTCTAAAAAAAATACAAAAAAAAAAAAACTCTAGCCACCAACCTAACACCGTGAAACCCTAGCCTTTACCCCATCCACCACCAAAACCGGTAGGCTGCCCTCCTTAGCCTCCGAAAACGGTCAGCCGACATCTTCCCACCAGGGAAACTGTGGGCCGTTGAGGGTTTCGGCGGTTTCTAAGGTGTTAAATAAAGGGAGATTTCGGGTGGTTATGGAGGTAAGGTAGGGTCTTTCGGGGTGGTTAGGGAGGTTGTGTGGTGTTTTTCGGTGCTTGGATGGAGGTTTCAAGGGTTTTCGGCGGTAAGAGAAGGGTTCTCGGCGGCTGTGGTGGTTTATGGTGGTTTCGGGGGTAGGATTTAAGTCAGGGGTGAATTTGAGGGTGGCTTTTGGTATAAAGGGGTTCCGACCGGCCATTTTCGAGAGGTTAGGGTGGCGGCTGACCGGTTTTTCGCCGGGGCTAGGGTAAGGGTTAGGGTTTCCAAGGTGGTTGTGGGTGGTGGGCTTTTTTCTCTTTTTTTTTTACATATTTTTGTTTTTGTCTTTTAACTTTTTTTTATTTGGACCAATTATTGAGCGACGTGTGGCTTTAAAAAAATTTTAAAAAAAAAATTAACTTGTTTAACAAGTTGTGGGTGAAAAAGTTCATTAAAAGAAGATGGTATACAAAGGTGGGTTTGCCTTGTAAATATCAAAAGGTGGGTTTGCCTTGTAAATATCAAAAGGTGGGTTTGTTATTTTCAATTCGGGCAAAGGTGGGATTATTTATTTCCATTTTTCCTTTTTTTTTTACAAAAGTGACCCCTTTTTTTTACACAAAAGTGACCTTTTTATTTCACAAAAGTGACCCTTTTTTTCACAAAAGTGACCCATTTTTCACAAAGAGACCCTTTTTCACAAAAGTAATTAAGCTACATATGCAAAACAGAAAAACAGGGTATCAAAATCAACAAAAATAAACCCAAAATTAAAGATAACAATGTACGAAGTATAGTCTATGTGCAAAGAAAGGGAGTGGCATTTAGAATGCTACGTCTATAAGCAATTGATTCGTTCACATGGATCATCCTCGAAGAAATTCATGCACGAAAACCATTGGGATAAACATAAAGGATTAGCTAAATTTGAAGCAACCTTGACGAGAACAGGGATGAAAGCCTGGCATGAGTGGATGAAATCCGCCGGAGGGGCTCCGGCGGATTTCGGTTAAGGAATTAACAACAGCGGGGAGGTTTGGGGGTTATTGAGAGATTGGAGGAAGGTTTTAGTTGGAGAGGGGGTTTTTTGGTGGTGATGGCGGAGGTAAAGGGGGAGGTGGAGGCGGCGGCGACGGGGGTTTAGCTGGAACAAGGTTGAGGTTTCACTCTCTCTCTCTCTAGCTCACTGTCACTCTCTCTCATTTTTCAGGTAAAGGTTGAGCTGATTTACAATAATGATATTGTACATCGGATTTTTTCTAATATTTGTGATTACATTCCTCCTTTTTATTTTGGGTATTCCAAAACTACATTCCACCTTTCTATTTTTAGTATTTTTTTTTTAAAAAAAATATCCCAAATACACTCTCTTTTTCAGTTGTATTTACATTCTACTTTTAATGTTTGGTTGGCTAATGTACTTTTTCAGCCTTTAATTTTTTAGAATCCTTGTGCCAAATTACAATGAATATGATTGGTTAAAAATTTTCAATTAGGAGTATGTGATTGGTCCTTTTTTTTTGCAAAGGATTGATGATATGTCATGAGTAATCACTAATCTATCTTTGTTTTACTCAAAAACATTATTTCATGTTTTGTACTTCCCATTGCATTATCTAATTATTGTTATTTTTCTTATTCTTTCCTCCTTAATTCCCGTGTAAATTTCCAAACAGGAATGTAATTTAGAGACGGAGAGAGTAGTACTTAAAAAAAACAAAAAAAAAAAAAAAAAAACTACAGTAGTATTAGCGGCGCCTGTTCACTTCAGTTTACTTTCAATTCAGTTCAGTCAGCTCCAATCAGTTCAATTCAATTGCAATCAGTTTAGTTCAGCTCCTAATTTCCTTCTCTCATTAAATATTCATTTCAGCTCTATTCAGTTCAGTTCAACCCAACTCAGTTCAGTAAATGTGAACATGCCCTTAGAGTAGCTAACGCGAGCGATATGCACGCATAACTAGCTATATCCGAATATCTCTTTTAGTTTGGTTTTATGTCATTGGTTATTGGTGACATGGGAAAAAAATTGAAACAAAACAATTTAGGGTATAATTATTCGCACACTATTTTTAAGAGCTCAATAAAAGAGTAAAATAACACAAATGAGGGCAAATAAGTAGATAAAAATTTCAAAGCGTATAATTAAGAATTATCTCAAACTTTTTAAAAAGTAGGGAAGAAAAAGGCAAAAAACAAAAAAAACACAAGAAAAGAAAAACTATGCCACACATGTAAATAGACATTTTTAGGGATAAAGTTGGCATAACACTATTCATTAACATTTGGTTTAACTTCAATAAGGTTGGTATAAAACTGAGAATAAGGGATAGCTCAAGTGGTTAAAGCTTCCCTCCCGATTTCAGTATATCTTAGGATCGAATTTTATCTCCGTTTTTGTGGCTTTCTGAACAATTTTTGGTGTGCCTTAATAAGTTTTAAAAGTGTTGTTTAGTTAACATATGAAGTTGATCGAAATCCACCCTGGGAATTTCAAAAAAAAAAAAAAAAAAAAAAAAAAAACCCTAACATCCTCTCTCCTAATTACCCTCTCTAAAACCCTAGCCTCCATTACTGAATTTTATAGGGTCTTCCATTAGTTTTTATGATTAAAACCCCAATCTTTGTTTCTTGCGAGATTTTCTCTTTGTTAGCTATTAGGTTTATAATAACTATTCCTCGAAATACTGGGTTTTGATTATTTTGTTCTTCAAAGGAAAAGGTTTTTCTTCTCCTCTTTTGATAAACGATTTGCTTTTTTGCTTTGGTGGATTGTCATGAAATTGTTTCATTGGCAAAGAATTACAAAATTTATCAAATTCTCGATTACAATTAGATAAATTAATTGAAAATCATCTTCACAGCTACAACAAATCGTTATATTGTCTCTCCAAAACGATTATACTCCAACGATGTAAGCAAAAGATATTCCACAATGTAAGATCTATCTCCTAGATGAACGAAATTTATATAAAGGATTTATTTAATTGATTCAATATGTTATATATTTGTGAGGTTGTATGTTGTAGATTATATATATGGCTAGATTATGGGGTCATATATCAATAACAAATTTACAAATTAAACAAGAAACTAGTTCTTACAAACTACAAAGATATAACGTTGATTGTAGATGATGTAAAAAAAAATTAAAAAAAAATATAATGAAACTCAAATGGAAAATTCAATTGAAAACAAAAGGTACCATTAAAGCATCAGCAAGACCATAAGTAGTAGCAGCATCATCTAGACTTCCACCAACAAATTGCATAGATTTCAAGTTATCCATAAAATTGTCCATGTGTCTCGTCCACCCGCTTCTCATAGGACCTATTAAAGTACAAAGACAAATTATAAAGTACGAAATACCTTCTTTTTTTTCAACGCAATCCTTTATTGTAATTAGGCAAACAACATCATAAAAATTCTCATATCTCTCTCTTGGGAGAATTAATGTACAACAATTAGGTTGCATTTTTTTTCAAAAAAAAAGGAATGTATTGTGTGTATTTTGATTATTTTACTAGATATTTTATATCTAAGAGCTAGTTGTTTGGAAATTTGCTCGTTTATCATAAAGGAGAAAAAATTTGATATTAAATGTGATAAATTAACAAAAACTTCAATGACAACTAGCAAAAATCTCACAAATATTGCTCATATTTAACAAGGGAAATTGGCTTAAAAAATACCAACAATCAACGGTGTGTGCAAAATTATACAAACTTAATTATTTGCTAATAGCGGTACCACCTTTTATACTATATGTGCAAAATAGTACGCAAGTCACCAAAAATGTATTTTGAGTAAAATTCCGTCTATTTATTACTATTATTTTATTAAATTTTTTTTTCAAAATACATATTTTATTAATAATTTCCTTTACAATCAAATTAATAATGCATGCCCCACCCCTTTGTTAGGTTTTTTTTAATTGTCAATATATATTTAAATAATTTATTTCAAAATACATGTAGTGATTATTTCTACTACCAGTCTATCACACAATAGTAAATAGGGTATTTTTGATTTAATTAGTTTCAAAAATTGTTTTAAAAATCCAAAAAACTCCCTACATTATTTTGGTTGGTGAATGTGGGAAAATTTTGAATATTTTGAAACTAATTATATCAACATAATGATAATAATAAAGCATTTAAATAACCTTTACTATTGTGTGATGTGGAAATTACTATGTGTATTATGAAAAAAATTAGGGAAATTCTCAATGGTAACACTAAACTTTTTAATTTTCTCGGTGGTAAATTGCGAAAATTCTTATTATTCTAAACTTTAATTTATTATAATTTTCAATGGTGAACTTAATGAAGCAATTTAGTTAATATTAAACCATGGTTAACATCTTTTTAGTTTATATCATTAACCACGATTAGTTTTATTATTATTTTTAATAATTAACTTAAATTTAAAATTTTTAAAAAAAAACCCCACTCTCCTCATCGAACCAGCAACCCAACACCTCCCTTTGTCGGCGCCGCCGCCACCCAAACCCCCTCCACTTTTCTGGCGCCGGCGACCAGCCGTTCTCTTCGCTCCTCCTTCGATTTCCACCTCTCTTCCCTTGAAACCACCTGGAACCTCACCTCCCCCACCCCCGAAACCACTTGGAAACCTCCCCCACCCCCCAAAAACCCTCGGCGACCTCTCCTCTACCCCCGAAAACCCCGACCACCCAACCCACCACTCTTGAAAAACCCTAATCGGCCTCCTACACCCTCACAAACCCTCGGCGACCTCTCCACCACCCCCGAAAACCCTAGCCACCCAACCCACCACCCTCGAAAAACCCTAATCGACCCTTTCCCCACCCACAATTAGGATTTTTCGAGGGTGGCAGCTGGGTGGCTGGGATTTTCGAGGGTGGGGGAGGTGGGTTTCGGGGAATAAGGGAGATAGGGGTTTCGTGGGGTGGGGTGGGTTTGGGGGAGGGGGATGGGCTTGGCGCCGGCACCGACGTGTGGGAGGGAGGGAGGCTGGGCGCCGGCCGACCTGATAGTGGGGGAGTGGGGAGGGTGGCTGTTGGGGGAGGAGGTTTTTTTTTTATTTTTAATTAGTTTATTTATATAATATAATTAATTAAATATTAAAAAATATATAAAATCTTAACCATAGTTAATTATTTATTAAAAAAGTCATCATTAATGTCATTAGTAATAATTATAAAT